AAAAAAAAATTGCAAGGGGACGATCTAATTGATGGATAGTATAGGTGAAATATAGAACAATGAGTTACGTTTTTCTTTTATTGAGCAGGATAAGGTTAGATTCTAATGGTGCGATTACGTTAGAACTATAATAAACCTTCGTGTTTCACATAAAAACATGATTTTTTTAAGGATTTTGCACATGTCGACTGCTCAGGGATTATTGTTTGACTGAACGCTGTAGGCAGATGGAAGCTTCTCCACTTTACCTACCAACGGAGTGGGCTACTTTTACCGCCGATAGAACTTTCATTATCCCATCCTCTCTACCATCCGCCTTCAGGACTCAGTCAGGCAGAAAAGATCAAGAAGCTTGATTAGGTTATTTTAATTAATCAGACAATTCTTTGATAGATGTAAATAAGTGGTGTAGTTAAATTGAATTTTAACTCATTAATCCAACATTTACTTGATCATTTTCTGCCATTTTAGGTGTGACGGCCATTTCGCGAAGGACTGTCCTCGTTTGAACGACTACAAGTTCTACCTTGCATTTGAGAACGGTGATTGCCGGGAATATATCACAGAGAAGGCGTGGTGGAACGCGTATCACAAGGGAGCCGTTCCCGTCATCATGGGGGCTTCTCTGGAGGACTGTGTCCGTCTTCTTCCCCCTAAATCTTACATCCATGTCAGGAACTTCTCGTCTCCCGCCAGTCTAGCCCGGTATCTGCTCTACCTAAACGCGTCTCCTTCGGAATACAACAACTTCTTTCACTGGAAGAAGAACTTCAAGGTTGTTAACGAACACGGCTACTTCCAGTCACCGGTGTACCACTACTGCAGACTGTGCGAGGCTCTCAATTATAATGATCCAGCACCAAAAGTGTACAATAAACTGGAAGACTTCTGGGATAGCAGCAGGGATTGTTATGAACCTGTCATCTAGGTATTAAAACCTTCTAGGGTAAGAAATATTTCAGAAGTCTCTAAACGTTTTGCGGATTTTCACACGGACTTGAAGTGAATTCCAGAAAATTATATTGTAATTCTTGATAATTTCTATCACATTTATGCTTAAGATGGATACAGCATGTTCCTACAGAAACAAACTGGTAACGATCTTCCAGATAATGCAGCGTAAGATATCATAAATCTATACTTTTCATGTATTTTTTATTTTTCTCCTTTCTAAATCATTGTTTCCTCGTTAGTCTGTGTTCACAGTGTATATGTGTGTAATCGCGGAAATAGCGGCTCCGGTTTAGACACCCAGTCGGTATAGTTCGCTTGCGGACTACAGGCCACGGAGTTTA